ATATGAAACTTTGCATCAGTTGGACAAGATCGAACTTTTTGTTAAACCTTAGGAACATTTCTCTGACCGTGTAGGACCTATTTAAAAATGTATGCAGGTATTTTGCGTTTTTGTTATTTGTTAGAAATCCCATTTTCAAGGTTATGCATGCAATCCTTAAAATAATGATAAATATTATTTTATTTTCGGAATTAGTTTTGTAATAAAGCTCCACCTTCAGTTTTATAACCTTTATATATCCGCATTTCTAATATCCCGCATACATCTTTGTGTTGTACATTTTTCTTTTAGTTTCTAAGATTTTTAAAGATAAAATGAGATTAAATCGCATTGATTTTCTCCGCAATGCAGTGAACAAGAAATCATTAAAATTTTTGCATGATAGGTATAAGCATTAAAAGTTTGCAAATTGGATATTACTTGTCAATGTATTTTTAAGTTGTTTCCTTAGTTTTGCAACACTTATTTTAATTTCGGAATACAAAATTGACCATAGACAATTAACAATCATCTGCGCTAATCTTAGGCGTTGCAAATTTGCATTTATTTATAGCAAGTTATTTAAATCGCTCTGTAAAATTTTTAAATTTTTTTGCGTCTGCATTAAGTGCGAATTGTTGATTTTTGTTAATCTATCTAGATTCCTGACCCTGTCCGAGGTTGCAAAGTTACCAGATTGTTAAGAAAAATAATATTAAAATTTGCAACCAATTTACAAAACTTTTTCATTTGATTTGACAAAATTAGAGGAAAATAAAATTATTTTGCCATTTAAAAAGCACTTTTGTAATTTTTTTATCTGGGATATAAACAAAAACGCTATTTTTATGTTCCAGCCTTTCAAAAAAATTGGAAATCTGACATCTCAACAGCTGCAAATCGTATGTATGGATTCATAGTACGAGTGGGCCGTGATTTTAAAAACACAGATACTATTAAATCATTGTATTTCTCATTTGTTCGATCTAAACTCGAATATGCCTCGTTTATTTGGGATCCTTATTATCAAATACACATTTGTCGGATAGAGTCCACACAAAGGCGTTTCCTCAAATACTTAAGTTTTCGGGCAGACCAAATTTATCCACCGATTGGTATTACTCAAAATGCTTTACTGACTAGACACAGATTGACAAGTCTCGACGTAAGACGAAAGTACTTCTCCATAATTACCCTCTACAAAGTTGTTAATTTTAAAATCAATTGTGAAGCTCTTTTACATATGCTTAATTTTAGAATCCCACGCGCAACCTCTCGAAACACTGAATCATTTTACATAGCGACTCCTCGGACAAACGTTCTGAAGTTTTCACCTGTATATAACATGTGTAATAATTATAATAATATTAGTGAACAGTTGGATATATTTAATTGCAGTGTTAAAAACATAAAAACACATTGTTTAAAATAATTTTGAATTTATTTACTGTAATTTTAGATTAATTATCTATATGCTTTTTGTTAAACTGTTTTCTTTCAAATGTACTCCTGTTCTGTAATTGGGTTTAACCTGTTGAACAATGTATAAATAAATAAATAAATAAATAAATAAATAAATAAATAAATAAATAAATAAATAAATAAATAAATAAATAAATAAATAAATAAATAAATAAATAATGTTGAAAATAATACAATTTCACAATAATTCAAGTTTAGCAGTTTTTTTAAAAAGTTATAATAAATTTTAATTTTTTGCAATTATTTATTAAGTTTTCCGGACCTTAGAAAAAGTTGCAAAATTAAATTTATAATTATTTCAATTTAATAAACTTTTGTAATTAATTTGAATTGATTATCTTCAAAGACTGGCCTACAACCTAATAATGAGAATGAATATTATTTTCTCTATAGCTGACGTAATAACACAAACATCGAAGAAAACAGAAATACATTGGTTAAGGTACATTTAAGTTTTTTTAATAGTTATTTTTGTCAGTGTCATTGAAACTGGCATTAGTATGTATCGATGTTAACAAATTGTGAATTTAAACCGAGCATTTGTATATAGTTAACATATTTGCATTTGCAAGTCAATTTCACTCTTTTACAATGTCAATTAGTTTTTTGTGTAATCGCTGTTGTTAAAATTTGTACATTGTACCTACACAATACACAATTATAAACCTGTTTGGCATGTAGATGGAAAAATATTTTTTTATTACGTACTTGCAGATGAGTGTTAAGGCCTCAAATTGTCTATAAAAAAAATTGAATAAAAAGTAAGGAACATAATTAAGATATCATAATGTACTGCAGCACGGCTCTGGATAAAGCAATAACATTTCGAACAAACCCAAGAGATCTTCAAGACAGCTCCAAGAACACCATAAAGCAGCTTCTAGTCAAAAAGGAACCATCTTAAAACGGCATTCAAGACTAAATTTTAAAACTATGTTAGAACCAATTTGCTTTTATTTTATATTTTTAAAGAGTTCTTCAAGGCAATTTAAATTTATGTATTAAAACTTATTAACTGAGGTTTTGCATTTAAAATATATTTGCACCAAACTAAATTACCTTGAGAACAGTAGCGTGGGATATAGGGGGCAACCCCCTCCCCCTCTTTGCGTTAAGAGCACCTTTGGCGCCCCTCGTAGAGATTTAGGCAACCCATAAAAGCTTCGCCCCTCTCACTTTGGCTTAGACTACGCCACTGCTTGAGAATCATTATAATTAATCACAGGGCCGACAAAAGGGGGGGGGCAGCCGGGACTTATTCCCGGGGCCTGGGCTCAAATGGGAGCCCGGCAGCGGTATAAGGGGGGCCCGGAAACTGCGGCGAGGATTTTTTTTACTTTCAGAAGTTCGGCACACGAGGGGGAAGTTTTTGCTTTTTTTTTAGAGAGATACAGTAAAGAGGAGGAGAAGTTTTTGCTTGAAGACCTTTTTTTTGTTAGAATGATTCAGTAAAGAGAAGTTTTTGCTTGAAGACTTTTTTTTAGAGAAATTTAAGTAAAGAGGAGAAATTTTTGTTTGAAGACTTTTTTTTTAATTTTTATAAAATTGTCATGGGGCCCGATCTAGAGAATTGTCCTGGGGCCTGACCTGGCTCTCGGCGGCCCTGATTATTCACAGAAGAGTTTTTTTAATTAATTTTAATGAATACATCGAGATCTCCATAAAACTAGTTGTTCCAAAATGAATTGTTTTAAAACCATGTGCTGTTATTTAATCCATTAAAATAGCAAATTAGTTTTAAAATAGCCAATGTCAAGAGTATTATTAAACCAGTATAAGATCAATAGGCTTTAAGAGCAAGTAATTTTCTTAATTTTAATTTAAAGTGCTTTAAATTATTTGACTAAAAATAAATGCTCTTTAAGAACTTTTACTTTATTTTTTTTTTGGTGTCGTCGGCATTAACTGCTAAGGTTATTAGCCTCGTGTTCTGTGTAGGCTTTGCTACTGTTTCCCAGCGCCACTTTAGGAACAGCACTGTTAATTAGAACTCAACAGTGAATGGCCGAGTGGGGAATTCTATACTTAATCTTAAAACAATTTTAAAACAAAGATCGTTTTATTGAAAATTTAAATTGTCTCAAATTTGTTACTTGGGTAAAATAATATGAGAATAAACGTGTTTTTGGCTGCGATGCCAATTTTGAAATAAAAGTTTTTTAATAATAATAATAATAATAATAATGTTTACTGGATAATTATTCTTTTAGAAAACGTTTTATATAGTGTTTTCTAAAAATTGTAAGTGTTAGGGGAACATTATTTAAGGGAGCTTTATCAAAAGTGGTACTCGGTCGTTTTATATAAAACCTAAAGGCTGACAATTATCACTTATTTCTTAACTGTGTCTGTCAGTAGGTATCCTAAAATTTTGAAGCCAAAGTACGAAAAATTAGCACTTCAGCGGTAAGAACCTACCTATATGTTTTTTTACGAATGGTAAGTAACTACCGTATTTGTCAGTAAGAAATAACAATAGATCATTGATATAAAGCAAAAAAAATAAATGGTCCCAGCCCAGATCCTTGAGGAACACCTAAGTTCAAATAATGTAAATCGGAGTTAATATTATTAATATTGTCGTATGTACATTTTAAGGATTTAATATAAATTCAGTAATAATATGGTTGGACGATGGTTGTTTAGTTAAATTCACCCCTTCAGTGATTAATGATTTAATTCTTTTAATTTGTAATCGTCATATCCAATAAACAAACTAACACCTTACAGAACGAGTACCTCAAGGTAAAATTCCAACGTACCCAGCTCACCTCTACCTACGTCGTAGATGGTATTCGCAGAGTTGGACTGGCAAGTCCAAAGCGACAGCCATTTTTGTTTCTGCTTTCTCTCGCCGGTAATCTTAGTTAATTTCTCAGATCCTGGCTTTTTCTCCGAGTAATGACTCATCAGACTTAACTGGAATCCAAAAAAGGCTAACTTTATAAATTCTTATCTTGTCATAATATTGGGATGGATCACCGGTCGTATATGACAGATTTGGCCTTATCTTATTTCTTTATTTTTCCAAGTAACAATTTTAAAATACTAAATTTGTTTAGGTATATAAAAGAATGTATAAATAAATAAAAAATTGGGAGATTAGGGGTTGAAAAAAACCAAACTCGAAAAAAAAAACGATATTAATTTAGGAAAATCAAGCTAGAAGGTCTGATGGCAATGGCCCCTCCAAAATCTCGACCTGGAGTCATCCTTGGTATTAAATGGCCATTGATATAATCGCAGATGTGAAAACTAACATCTGAAGATAGCTATAAAAAGAGATAGAAAATCGGTATGTATGATGATTGTAGACAAAATACAATAATGATAAATCAAAATGAAGAACCGAAAGATAGGGGGAGAAAATTAGTAATTAAGTTAGAGGAAACTGTAAGAAAAGAAAGAAAAGATAGAAAAGAAAGAAAAAACTTACGAATTAGCTATTTTAATAGTAATATTTAAATTTATACCCAGTACGTACCTGAGCAACGGTACTACTCTCGAGAAGTCGAAGTCGACGAAGGAGAGAGAGAGCGAGCGAACGAGCCAAAGGTATGCCGTTCTCAGCACCAGCTAGTTCTTGGAGTGCTATGTGTCGGTGAACGTCTAACACGAACCCGGATTATTGTTATGCGTATACAGGGTGGTGTCTAGCGCTGCTCAAACCCCCGAAAAATGGGCCTACGAGCGCCAGCGAAGTTGTGGCTGTGTGCGCTGACTCAAGTGTTGTGTTTTTGGATTATTGACGTTAACGGACATGTCGCTTTGACATTTCCGCCGGCTAGAAAGTACGATTTGGATTTCTTGGATAGTTCGCGTACCAAAGCGCCATGTGGAATGCCTAAAGGTAAGAATATCTTCGGATGTTGTGGCTATTCGATGAAAAAAATGATTCAGTGATTTGTCGACATACTATGTGTACAAGAACAAACTGATAATAAAGCGTTAATGGTTCTGTGCAAAAGTAATACCTATTTTCATTACGAGAGGAAAAAAGTTAAAAAAAAGAGTTGAAATATAAAGGTGTACCACAGAGATATATGCTTGGTGCACACATTTATTCCTAATTTGCATTTATGATTTGTTTTTATTTTTTAATAAGTAAGTAAGCAAATGATGCAAATAATAATTTAAAATGTGATAAAAACTTAACAATACATAGAAATTTATGATATATCAAATAAGGAAAACGTTCAAATAAACATGATACAAATTACAGGGTGTTAAACTTAAGACAACAGGTTTTTTTTCGAAAATATTTTAAAAATCCTTTACCCAATTTTTGTTGTAATTACAAATTAAAAGGTTATAAATAAGTTGACAATAATTGTCAAATTGTTTACAAAATGCTTCAATCGTTTTCCAAGGCAACCATTAGTTTATTTCCTTTTTTTTTCTGTTTCATGTGTGACCTAATATACAATTAAGTGGATTTTGTTTTCTCGAAAACTAAGAGAAATTCGAAAAAAATTCTAGGGACGAAAAGTTGTATTTCTAGTTACTTATTCAGAAAAAAAAGTCAGGGCCGTACTTTTTTTTTAGTCAAAAATATTTGTTAAGGTGCCGCTCAGTACGCCATTGGATTTAATATATTTAATCAAGTTAAGAGCCAAATTAGCCCCTTAACACTGCAAAGAACACTGCCAAATTACAACAAAATTGGATAACGGATATTTAAAATATTTACGAAAAACCATTTTATTTTTAAGTTTAACACCCTGTATCTTGAAAATGAAGCTTTTACAGATATCCATATTTTTATATGACTTTTTTTATTTTAAAATCACTAACACTAATTATAATAATAATGATTCATTATTTGCATTTTATAAATCCTATTCAGTATGACAAAAAAATATTGATAATACAGATATGTGGCCAATCTCCCGGATTCAGATAGAACTCATAAAAATAATTTGATATTTAGCTTATTTAATTTGCCAGGGACGGACTAGCTTTAACACAATAATGCTAATATTTTTTACATTCTTTATGATACAGACACAACAATAATATTTTTGACAACATAAACCTTAAACTGAAAAAAGTACACTGATCAATATTGATAAAATTATTTGTTTTCGATTAATACAAGGGAAAAAGTATTAGATTTTAGCTCGAGGTTGGAAACAAAAAAACAGAGCTAAAATCTAATATTTTTCGATTGTATAATACACTATTTTTTCTAGGACGGGAAAAACGACGATTTAATAATGAAAAAAATATTCTAAAATATCTATCATTACTTATGTGTATATACAGTATGTCCCCCTAAGTTGGAATCATATGGAAAACTTTTTTATTATTAATTTTAGGGAAAAAAAAGTTATTCTTCATAAAAAGTTCTGTATTATCTAAAACCTAGAATACAGTCATCAAATATCAAATTTTTTCAGTGGTATACGAGATTTGTCAAAAAATATGAGTTTTACTCAAGAGTAAAGTACCTTTATTCTTTATATCACTGATACAATTTGATATTTGATGGTTGTATTTTAGGTTTTAGACCATGCTCGACTTTTTATAAAGAACAACTTTTATTCCTAAAATTAGTAATAAAAAAGATTTTCATATGCCGCCAATTTGCGTAGACAGTTGGTGGCGTAGTCTAAAACCTAAAATACAACCATCAAATATCAAATTTTAACAGTCGTAAAAAGAATAAAGGTACTTTACTCTTGAGTAAAACCCACATTTTTTGACAAACCTCGTATACCAAAAATTTGATATTTCATGACTGTATTCTAGGTTTTAGATAATGCAGAACTTTTTATGAAGAATAACTTTTTTTTCCTAAAATTAATAATAAAAAAGTTTTCCATATGATTCCAACTTAGGGGGACATACTGTATATCCGGGAAAAAGTACTCACTTTTTCCCGGGGAAAAATGTAATTATAAAAAGTGAAATTTTGTTACCTGTCAAGAGAGATAACATTTTATCTCTCTGGCATTCCAAACTTTTTTTCCGTCACAGAAAAAAATTGTTTTTTGCATTGGTTGTCAGTGATAAAAAATCTTTTTTGTTGCTACGTTTTTGATGGTTTTTATTGAATAATTTTATACGTGGGTTCTAATCGTATGCATTCCCAAAAAAAAAAAATTATAGACACTTGTTATGTTATTTTTGTGTTTTAGGACACCCTGTATAAAAGTAATTTTTCCATTTTTTCAGACTTATCGGATTTTGATTCTGAACTCTCGATAAGCAATAGCAGTTTCAAAACTGTTGTTATATAAAATAATAATGAGTAATTTTAAATAATGTATCCAAATACAACAAAAGGTAAAACAACATTTCAAATAAAACGTAATATAAAGTAAACTTGCCCTATTAGAAAAAATTAGTATTTAGTACCTATACAAAAAAGGGAAACCCCGCCTATGTATTTTTTCATGTCCCAATAAATTGTTATAAGTAAATAAATTAAATAAACCAAGCTCATTAATTATTAACGTTACGCTTACCTAAGAATACCATTATTAATCGGAAAAATAATTACTTTGTTATTCAATTAAATGCATTTTTAATTATTATTGTCTATTATTACTGTCAATACTTAACTGTCTTTCTAATAAGGTAGACGAATACAATTTGAATTCTGGTTTTTTCTGTAGGTATTAGTCATATAAAAAGAACAAAAAGGTGTGAACGTGCCCTAATATTGAGTTGAACGCATCTTTGACTCAAATCGATTTTTTATTCTAATTTTGTTACTTTTATTTAACTAAAGACTAGTAAGGACCGGTTCCACCGTTGTGTTAAACGAAGATTAAAATGACTTCGATTAACACAACGGTGGAATTGGTCCTAAGTGTAAGTACCAATACATAACAAAGCAATGCAAATTAAAAAAAAAATATCTGTAGATATTTAACACAGAATAATGCATTACACGAGTATAATATTATCTTTTGCATTATTTATTTAGCTCATCCCCACGTAAATGGTATTTCACTACAGCTGTGACCATGAGTCAGTTTTAAAGAACCTTCTAATTCGCTCGAGAAGAATTCACGATTCAGTGCAAATAGTTCTAGTTGAAAAATGTATACAAATAAATTAACGATGCTATTTCTTTTTTATCCTAACCAAATTATTGAATATGGGGGGACACCTGAAAACAAATCTACCTAAAAGCAACCTTAACTATGAATAATTCTGATTAAACCTTCTATATGTAAACTACACAAATAATTAAACGTTTATTTTACGTATGAAGTTTATTAAAATAATGTTACAAAAATAATAATTATTGAAACAAATGGAATAACACAGTCTTAACAAAAGAAATCGACTGCATTCCTCAACGGTGTTCGATAATCTGCCCATCCAAATAGTTAACCCACTGATTGAACCTTAGAATATGATTGAACGACTCTTTTCTGTCGACCGCCGGGTTTATGATGTTTTGCTTTCCCAGAAATCGGCTCGGGTTAAGGGACCATCCAAACAATAGATTACATATAATAATAATAATAATCTCCCTAATTCACCCCCTTACGAGTTAATTTCAACCCCTATGAGTAGAGAAAAGGAAGGATAATCTCATATGGTTGTTTATCTCAAAAAGTATCTAGCCAAAAGCAGTAAATAAGGTTACAGAAAGTGACCAGAATGGCGCTAGTGTACTAAAAGAGCGAGATCTAAGATTCAATGATATATAGTTATATAGATTATCTATATACAGTATGTCCCCCTAAGTTGGAATCATATGGAAAACTTTTTTATTATTAATTTTAGGAAAAAAAGTTATACTTCATAAAAAGTTCTGCATTATCTAAAACCTAGAATACAGTCATCGAATATCAATTTTTTCAAGCCGTATACGAGGTTTGTCAAAAAATATGAATTTTGCTCAAGAGTAAAGTACGTTTATTTTTGACAAAATCGAAAATTTTCATTAAGAAAATTGATAAATTCTTCACAAACATCAAGAAAAATAAAGCATATCATGTTTATAGTAGAGAAGAGAGAGAAAAAATTATGGATTACCGTAATTAGGTGGATCAATGCAAAATCTAGAAAAAATCAGAATTTTTTTAGTTAGATCGGTGTAATTGCATATTTAAATGTAATTTTCAATTCTAATCAACTTTTCTTAATCAAAATTTTAGATTTTGTCAAAAATAAACGTACTTTACTCTTGAGCAAAATTCATATTTTTTGACAAACCTCGTATACGGCTTGAAAAATTCGAGAGTGATTCCAAGATATTTAACCCCCTTTTCCATTTTTAGACGCTGTCCCAACATATAAAGCTCTTTTATTCCTTGAAGGTTCCTTTTTCTTGTTCTTGGGTGAGCTGAATTATCGACTGTCACAACTTTCGACGCCATTCTGGTACAGTGTCATACATTTTGAGACACTTTTTATAAACGGAGATAGTTCACTCCATACTTTTAACCAAATCTTAAATTTAATCAAGCTGGATGACAGTTAGGTACTGTAGGTGTTTCAACTGTCCCATATAGAAACAAAATAAGATATGACTCTAAAATGTAAGTAGTATTAAAAAAACCACCAGAGGTCGTTAGCTTATGATATGCCTCTTTGGCCATTAATAGATAGACATAACATAAGATGTTTCGCGTTTTAACATCAACTTGTATCCAACTTCATTAAACAATCGTTTGACAGATTAATATGTTTCATCTATCTGATTAATTATCGAAGAATGGACCTGGCTGAAAGGGGTGGTATTTAAAAATATACAAATAATACATTTTTGCTCTTATAAATTGTGATATAAAAAAAAACTTCATGAGGAGAAATTGTGGTGGACTGATATTCTTTAAGCTAGTTTATTTACAATTTTAATATTTTTATTTCTGTTATTTACAAAAA